AGGCAGGCCGCGGCGCGGCTGCGCCCTGCGTTTGCCCTTCGGCTCCTCGCAGCCCCCGGCCGGGTTACAGGGTTTTCCCATCCTCGGCGAGTGCCGCAGTTGGGCGTGAGGTGGTCCGCGTCCTCTAGATCAGACTTTGCTTCACCCTCCTCATCCACGCGTTAAATTCACTTTGGACCGGGGCAGTAGTTTGAAATTCGCAGGCTTTGCAGAGAATTACGAAGCCTCTAGCACCGTATTTCCGTTAATTCATTTCCGGTAGCATCCAGGCTTTGGGCTGAAGTCACGAAGTTCAACGCTTGGAGATATGTAAACCTCGCAGTGCAAGTAACCAGGTACAGAAGACATTTTTACCTGCGGTACAGAGACGAGGAGAATGCCGTGGCAAACAGCGCTTTCGGCGGGACGGCGTTTGTGGGAAACCCTCTCCGCCGCAGCCGGCAGAGGGTATCGCTGCGCTCCCTTGTTGAGCCGGCGCTGCCTCAGCCGCCGCGGGCCGGTCTCTTGAGGCCGCGTTTGATTTCAGCTAGAAGTGACTTTTTAAAGCATTTCTGGCCGTGTCCCTCCCCGCCCCTTCCTCATCAAGGTGCCTCAGCTGCCTCAGACCGCACTGCCACGGCAATTTCATTGAGGTTGTCACTGCTGCGGTCCCATCCTCCTCTGCACTGGCTCGCAGGGAGATACCGGGGACAGAACCGGTAGAAAAATTGATGTGTAAAGCAGTGCATAGTTTTCCACTTCAGCTGCCAGAACCAGAAAAACCAGCTTGGTCAGTATCAGCAGAGGAGAGAGGATAAGAACGGATGACCGGGAGGATGACGGGATGATAACCTGCGACAGCCTGGAGCTGCTTAACTGTTTGTAATGAGTTCACACAGTCTAACTTCCTGAAAGCACCGAAAGGAGGATGGCGCATTTTAGGCTTCCCTCTGCCGCTCTACTTCTCTTATTCCACCGGGCCTTGTACTGAGCCAATTCAGCCTTCCAGTTCAAACTGCAATCTTTTTAAAAGAAAAAGATCACTAGCAAAGAAAAAAGAAAAGAGAAATACAACAAAGAGAATATGATCTAGAGAAATTTTGGCTCTGGCTGTGCTATGAAATTAAGCCCTTAATATTAAAATCAGTCTGCTCACAGGCTCAGTTGGATAAAGAAAGGACGTAACAAAGACACCCACCCTGTGTTACCCTGAAGACCCAACACATATGTATATTCATAACTCATTTCTTAACTGTTAAGGACAGAAAGTGAGAAATGTATCCTTTGCTTCCTTTCCAAAGTTAAAGAACAGGAGACTCCATGATAGCTGCAGAAGTACAAAGGAAGGGCATTCAACCACGTATAGAACGAGCAATATCATAAGAAGACTTTAGAGCACAGTCTTAGTAGAAGCAGCACATTGACATATATTGGTGCCTCTCATGCAAACTCCACACAGTGGTATTTGACAATTACTTTTGCCCCACTACCTTTATGACTGTGATATTTGAGGTGATGGGTGGCTCACATCAGTGTTGACGTACAGAAGTACTTTGGCAGAGGAAGGGAAGTCAAGCACTAACAATACTATTAATATGGCTAGACAGAGGGACAGGTGGAAAGGTCTGAGTACAAATTGGTACATCTCCTTGCTCAGGGTCCTAGTGAGTTCAGTTTCTACCAGAAAGGGTAGACGTATGAGGTTCTGTAAAAGTTACATGACCTACATCCTTTTCAGGTATCAGAGTACTCTTCCTGCTAGTGTATTTCCCTGCTCTGCTACTTCCCCCCCACCCCATCCATGCGGATGTGGTACCAGGAGCTCCTACAACTGGAGAAAAACCAGTGTTTTAGAAAATGAATTTTGACACCTTATGTTATCTCTGCTACTATTAGCCTATTCATGGTTTCTGCAAAAAAAACCCCGATAAAATGAAAAAGTAAATGTGTCAAATGGTACCTAAGTTATAAAACACTCTTGGATAATAAGCTGCTTAACATAGGAGAAATGTACTAACTGAGGAACATAATGAAAGTTTATAGACAGTGCTCCCAAGCCCCTAGGACAGAAGAGCGAGAAGAGGCACATTTGAACATTCCTACTTGCTCCATTTTTGAGACATTGCTGAAAGACTCTAGGCTAGCCAGCACACAAATGTAAGAAAAAATGTGTTCATAAGTGGGATTTGGAACTGTGTATCATTGTGGTTTCTTTTTCTCACTTAGAATGTTGTTGTACATTTTCTAATTCCTTTGCTAAAATAACGTGCACTCCTTTCATCCATTAGCCTATGCAAAGCAAGTTTAAAGCTGACATGTTCAGGTTATAGTATTTCCCCAGAGATAAATCTATACCTAGGCCCCTCCAGGGAACTTCCACGCACAGATGTGTTGAGGGCAAAGTTGGCAATGCCTTTTGTCAAGCTGCAAGGGCAGTTAGGGATAGTAGGAGGGCCTGGTATACCACTGAGAAGTTCACCTGTCACCTGCAACACCTTACAGGTCCAAGCAACCTGCAGAATCACCCAGCGATGTAGTCAAATGGGTTTTTAATCTTTGCTTACCAGTCAACCTTGGCAGTCAGTCAGAAAGGCAACAATAGGATATTTGGAAAATAATGTTTATTGTCTGTTTGCACTGGGACAAGGAGAGAAGGTAGCAGAAAATAATTTAAAAAAAAGGGTCAGCTGTTTGCACAGTCAGAAAGGAGTCTCAGAAGAGGAGCTAGGTTGCACAGGAAAAGCAACAGTTAAGGGTGGAGAATGTTTTGCTTGGAGAAGCTGACCAAAGTGGAAGATAGAATTGCATTGACTAGGAGGACACTCTAAGAAATCAAGAACCAGCCAAACCCAGATCTTAATAAACATGTGTTTGCAGCCTATGTTAATTAGAATAAGACTGAGGTGGATCCTGGTGAGTCTGCAAACAAGTGAGCTGGTCTGAGGCTTGCCTAGGTCATCACAAAAAGGCATCAATTCCGCTAAGCCTTTCAATAAATGGTTTCTATACTAAAATCTCCAACAGAGGATAGCTAATGGATGCAGCAGGGAAGAGGGCTGAAAAGCATGACTTAACTTTCATAAGCAATATGAGCTCAGCAACCCCAGCTGCTGCGAGCTGGTATTTTGGGTCAAATTTTCATGAAAGCTACAAGGAGACAACGCAAGCACTACTCCCCTGCTCTGCTCAGTTGGTGTGTTACATGGAAAACAAGGTGACTGGGAGAGTTCACACAGACCTATATCTTAGGTGGATGGTGGACATACTATATAACGAATGCTATATAATCCATGCTGAGAAACATAAATAGTTAAAATATTTTGAAGCAAGGTTTAAGTATAGCAAATCACCCACACAAAGTTAATGAAAATTCAGGCTTAAATCCATGCTTGTCTCAGTTCCCTCATTGTTAAGGAAAGACAACCACAAAGATCTGCTGAAAATAATGTGGCAGCGTTTGTGATTTCTTTTTTTATTAAATGAGAAGCACCATAGAGGGGGCCGCATGTGTAGTGATGTACAAGAAATTATAATAATTAATAAGATGCATTCAGTAGAAGATTTGGATGAAGTATGGTAACTAAACCCTGGTGAGGTTCTCTGAACCCTGCAGAGGAGGTAGGAAACCTGTGGAAGAAGAGTCAGTGATCCCATGTTTACTTTATGTATAGAGAGCTGTGATAAGCCTGCACAGAAAAATCTGCATTAGCCTTTTCCTAACATTCACTCAAATAGTTTTCTGATTTAAGACTTTGCAGGTAATTATTCATTTAATGGCAATAACGTGCATTCTTATACATACAGGACAAGCATGCAGTAAAGCACAGGGCAGGCTATAGGGCATGACTGCATGGTTTACTTAAGGCAACACTGAACTCAGACAGGCTCAACCAGCTGATCCAGGTAACACATTTACACATCCTTTGGGCATGACGATCCAGCCAAACTCCAAGTTAAGCAGATTGTTGGAGGAGTATGGACCTGTGCTAAAGCCAGAGGCTAGCCTTTGACTCTGGATGGATGATAGGAGTAGACCACACCTCAGGGTGAAAAGACATGTAGTGTGGAAGGCAGATAAAGAAGTCAGTGAGTACATCTAGTCCCTAGGCCACTCTGATCCTAAAATCAGACTAAATAGCTTAAAACATCAAAGTGGAGAAGAAAATATACTAATTTGCATTAACTGGAAGATAAAGGCAGACAAAAAAAACAGGGTACAAAAAGGGAAAATGAAAAATGGAGGACAACAGAAAGGAAATAACTCTGTTACATGCTGTTTTCTTTTAGTTCTTTTCAGAGTGCAACCCTCAGCAGGCAGAATATGCAGCCTGCCGGTCTGCATGTGGTCTAAGGGTGCAATTCCTCTTCCCAGCCCAGGTGTGTCCTGTAGCCTGAGACTTTAGATGTCAGCTCTGGCATTTTGTGATAATCTACAGCTATAAGCAGAGTAGCCTGGACAAACAGGCTACTACTGCATGTGCTTTGGTTCTGATATCTAGGACATCACTACTTTCGAAACTTGCAAGGTGGGAAGGCACTCATCTCTTGGTCCTCCACAGGGTAGTCCTGCTACTT